ATGTTACTGGCATCTGCTTGAGCAAATTGAAGAGTAACGGAATGTTAAGTGATCAAGTCAAGTGATCAAGTGCTTATATTACAGACTTCACTTATAAGTATAGATTTTAAACATACAATAGTAAATTACTGGCAGAGAGAGACTGTTATGCATTTGAAGTACAATATAACTCTACTTTCAACTTAGCTCTGTAACTGAAACATAAAATATACTAGGCAAATTTTTTCAATTTTCCTCATAAGCAGGTGTGCAATTTAAAGATATTTCTTCTTTCCCCCTAAACATATTTAACTCCATTTCAGAAGGTTATAATCACCTTGTTAGGTATTAATTCTATTTTTTTACACACCGTAAAATTCATTTAACTTTAGAGCATAATTAAGCAACTTTCACTAAATATAGAGTTGTTCAATCATCATGACAATACAGTTTTTAAATGTTTTTATATTCCCAGAAAGATTCCAAGAATTGTATCATTTCAACAATGAGTATAGATTAATAATCATCTCATAAGATTACAGTTTTGTATTTGAACATCAGAAGAAGTAATGAATCAATACCTAAAATTCTAGTCAGTGGGAGTAAGAAGGCTCAACTTCAAGTCCAAGCTCTGGGACATGATCACTTCATTCGTTCTTTGTTGGGGTCCAACTAGGCCGTCAGGATGAGCAGGTGGAGACTGACCTTCACATGGACAGGATCACAGGGACTCATGAAAATGGGCAAGCTTGACTCATGTGTCCAGATTGGTTTGGAGAGGGTTGGACATCTCTTTCTGTAATCTGCCCTCAGTAAGTAGCCTAAATCTTAGTATAATAAAAGAGTTGGTATCCTCTTCTCACAGATTCCACACCCAACTTGTTGTTGATATGCAAACCCTAGGTGCTTTAGGTTGTAACTTACATGCAGGAATGCTTGACTGTTCGTTTCTTTCCAGGGGGTTGAAACTAACTGGCTTGGGGACGTAAGAATCAATGTATGCCTTAATGCCTGAATATTTTTCTTGTAACTTCTTTATTGATGTTGTCACTGTGTTGAGTCCTTTAGAGGTGTTTATGGTAGGATGGTAATAAAAGGAGATCTCAGGATGCTCTACCTTTGTCACAGGGTCCTGAACAAGTCCCATGATTCTCTGTAAAAAAATAATTTCTCTTGCATTCCTTGTCTCAGCACCTCCCACTGAACGAATATTCACACAACATCTGGAGCCCAAAGTGCATGCCCAAAGGTAAGGACTGAGTATGGAAGAAACTTAGAGGGATAACATTGCACTGAGCTTGCATAGCCTCTCAGCTGACCTGAGGGGGGAAAAAAGGGTGATGGGTAATTCTGTAACATCTCAGCGGGATGCTTGTATTGATGTCCTGAATTCTGGCAAAGCAGCTGGTCTGCCTTTAAAGGAACACATAGTGTGACACTTCCTTAAGAGAGTACATAGATATTCCCAGCCCCGCCCAGAGAGTGGTGAGTGTGATGGTGCCGCAAAATGCATGGTGCACTAGAGGAGCGCTGGTCGGGGAGTGTGGGGAGATGTCCCCATTGCCCCCAGACACCTTGGGAATGGAACACTGTTTGGTAAGACATCCTGGCCAGACTGTAGTTAGCTGGACTCCTGGTTTTTAACCTGCCTAGTTAAAATCAAGAGCTTTGTGAAAAAGTGCAGAGATAAAATTAGTTCAGGTGTTTTCCTATGCTGCTATTTAAAAGTTTAGTGAGTACCAATGGCTTTGTGTGTGTGTGTGTGTGTGTGTGTGTGTGTGTGTGTGTGTGTGTGTATGAAAGCATGTTTGTAGCGTGAAATTGTTAAAGTGTCTGGGTCTGGTGTGAAGATTTTATGATTTAAGGTAATTAAGAACTTTTAAAATTAAGCCAAAGGAGTACTATAAGAAGTCCAGAATCCACAAGGATGGGTCCTCTCTGAATCTATTTTGCCGATGTTATAGTAACAAAAGCACTTTCTTGACCAAATTTTAACAAGCAGGAGACAGGCTATTTATACTGAGAAATGGGGAATAATCCCAATTGGCCGATGGGGAATTTTACTCTGGGCACTGCCCCTTCCTTTCTCAGCCCATCAGTTTTTTCCCTGCCATTCTTGAAGGGTCAGATTGATCAATCAAGTATATGTCTGTGCACATGTACATGTGATGTTTGTTATCTTTCTGTCTGTCTGTCTGTCTGTCTGTCTGTCTGTGTTGAGTACTCCAATGTTAGTGTCAGATTAAAAACAGAAGTAAAAATCCTTAAACCTGGGCAAGCAGCATTATCACAAGAGGTCAGTGATATGCAATCCAGCAATTTGAAAAGTTTAGGTGTTTCTGGAACTTGTTAGACAAAGGTTTAAAAAATATTACTAATCAGAATGTAGCATCTACAGAGAAATTGAAATTATCAATCTAATATCTCTTACTGGAAAAACATTAATGGTTATTAACTAGTTGAAATTCTTTTGAATTTTAGAATATGCTGCTATGTAGGAAAAACTGAAGAATTAGAACCTGAAACTAAAATAAAAATTTCTAAAATATCTGGTGTAGAAAGTTCATGATTTGAAATAACTAAGGTGTAAAAACTATTGAAATTACAAAGAGGTTTTCCTCGTGCTTCGTAAAATTTGGTTCCAAGTTTTTCCTCTGCTGCTATGTCAATACACACACACATATGTATATATTTGTTTGCATCTGAATTATGTTACTGTTTTTGGGAAAATCAAATACACCACGGGTAGCTTGCCAAGCTCTGCCATGCGGGCAGGATACTCTCAGTAGCTTGCTGGGCTCTTTGAGAGGGATGGAGGAATCGAACCCAGGTCAGCCACGTGCAAGGCAAACGCCCTATCCACTGTGCTACCACTCCACCACTGTGCTATCACTCCACTCCAAGCCTACTTGGATTGGAGTCGAGCATCCTCCACCCAGGTCCTCCAAATTCCAGTAGGCGGGGGTCACACCCACCAACTGGCCCCCTGGCGCCGTGTAAACCCATCAGCGTCAAAGACTCAGAGACTATAAAAACCAGCTCCTGGAAGAGAACGGAAGAGAACGCGCGGCCACGCGACATCTTATTATGACATCTCATTCCTACTTTGACAAACTGGCAAGCTACCGAATGTAGCCTGCCCACACGGCAGAGTCTGGCAAACTCCCTGTGGCATACCCAATATGCCAAATACCAGTAACAATGATGGGTCTCATTCTCCTAAAGAGCCTTGAATATAATCTTAGGGCTAGGATGAAGGAGACGTTACTGGGGCCTGCTCGCGGCAATCGACGAATAACAGGATGATCTGTGATTTGTGATCTGTGAATTGTGTTGGATTGTTAAAATGAGAGTTGAAATAATTGAAGTATCTCAAAACAGGTTCACAAAGTACTGGTTTGGTTCAAAACATGAGTTTCTAGAGTTATAAAATTGGTTGTAAGTGTTTTATTTTATCTATTTTCAAGAATTGTTTAAAATACATCTTAAACTACATATATGACCATTTGAGTTGTATATTGGAGAGAAAATAAAAAAGAAGTTAAAGTTATTTAATAGAATAAAACACAAAATGCAGTCCACTGGAAGTGATGAAGTGGGCAAAGACTGAAGAAATATTATAGGTAACTGAAATCTATGAATCTTGTGAGCATTTTAACCCTCTTTTATACGTTTTTTCCCTACAGTTGAAATTCTATATCATAAGATTTTTAATTATGAGCATTGTAAACTTTTTGAAGATATATAGGACTAATGTAATGCTTTTGAAAGAGTACTACAGAGTACAACTTAGTAATGGTAAATGAGGCAATGATTAGCAAGCTACTTAAGAAATCTTTAAATTATATCTGCAGAATTGTTTTAGAATCCAGACTCCTGTTACAGTGTTCCTAGATAATTTGGAAATCAAAGTTTTCAACATGGAACTAAATGAGTTAGACATGATGTTGTTAAACTGTACATTCTAACTCTACAGAATATAATGCTTCTTTTGATTTGACTAGGACCCATAGCAAATGGGTATTGGTTGCATTTTTCCAAAAATTCCGCTGCTCGAAAAACAGCTCTCCCAATAGTATGGAAACAGGTTCAGCCTGTTTGAGCTGAGCAGTGGCCCTTGACAAATGAAAAACTTGAGGCTTTGCATGAATTGACTACAGAGCAGCTTGATTTGGGACATATTGTTCCTAGCTCTAGCCTTTGGAATTCACCTGTACTTGTTATTAAGAAAAAGACGGGTAAGTGGAGAATGTTAACTGATCTAATAAAAGTTAATGACTATATGGAATCAATGGGCCCTTTACAATCGGGCCTGCCTAATTTGGCCATAATCCCAAAACTGAAATATTATTATAATTGACTTAAAATATTGTTTCTTAAGAGAAGAAGATGGAGAAAAATTTGCTTTTACTGTGCCTTCTTTAAATAATGAACTTCTTACTAAAAGCTATCAGTGGACTGTTTTGCCACAAGGGATGATGAATAGTCCCATGATGTGCCAATAGTTTGTTAATCAACCATTGGATGTCATAAAGGCACAGTACCCTGAAGTCGATTCCCCGCCCCTCTCGGAGAGCCTGGGAAGCTACTGAGAGTGTCTTGCCCTCACATGCCAAACATAGTAACAACAAGTCTCACAATGGAGAGAGACGTTACTGGGTCTGCTCGAGCAAATCAATGAACAATGGGAGGACAGTGCTACAGTGCTACCCTGAAGTCAAAATTATTCACTATATGGATGATATTCTAATCACTGCTGCACCTCAGACCAATTTGCAGAAGGTGTATGAAGCTGTAACTTATGAATGAGAGTCACGGGGTTCAAAAATTGCACGGGATAAAATTCAACTTCAGGTTCCTTGTGAATTTTGGGGACAAATAATATGGGAAAGCAAGATTACACCTCGAAAGGTTCAAATTTGGAGACATAAGTTAAAAACTTTAAATGATTTTCAAAAACTGTTGGGAAATATAAATTGGCTATGGCCTTCTCTGGGCATTCCAACTTATGCCCTACAATGTTTTTTTTACTTAATAAAGTTTTTATTTTTCAAAATGTACAGTTGGGACCTGCTCACGCATCTTCCCCTGCAGCTGGGGTGTCCCCACCCTTGGTGTTTCTGGTGTAAAGAACTTGAGCTCTGTGCTTTGAAACCAGCTTAATAAGTCCTTTACTAAGGAGCTCCTGAAGGGCAGCTCTGGCCAAGGACCCCCGAATCTTCAGCCTCTCAGACACAATAACAGGGGTGTTAAGTTTATAGATTTGGACTTCCTTGCAGAGCTTGTCGTAGGTGGCTTTGTCAAACAAGAGGAGGTTATTGAGCTTGTCCCGAACTTTGCCTTTGGACCACTTCTTTTTCGCCTTGCCCCCAGATTTGTTCACGGGGTCTTTGTCTTTCTTGGCTGACTTTCCAGCATCTTTCTTTTTCTTGTCGTCTTTGGGAGGCATCGCGAAGCTCGGAGGGCAGCAGCCAGCACCGCAACCACGCTAAGATGTCAGACAAAAAGCCAAAATTTGTTTCTTACATTGGAAGGTGATTCTTAATAGTCCTAGGCAACTCAGCCCGGCAGTTGAATGTGAATTGGAACTAACTGAGGAAATTGTAAATAAAGCTCATCTAAATAGAATTGATTCTTTAGGAAATTTAAATCTGATAGTGTTGTGTACTTCACATTCTCCCACTGAGATTCTGGCACAAGGAACTAATACTGTAGAATGGAGTTTTTAATGTAACAAGCCCACTAAAGTATTGGTCACTTATGTTATAAAATATCTCAGATAATTCTCAAAGGAAGAAAAAGAATTAGGTAATCAATAGTGAGTGATCCTGTTGAAATTATTGTGCCATATACAAATGAACAAATCCACTATGGAAACTTGATGAAGATTGGCAAATTACCTGCACTAATTATTTGAACAAAATCCATAACAGCTTTCCAAAGCAAAAGATATTTCAATTTCTTAAATTTACTAATTGGATTTGGCCTGGCATCATAAAAACTGAACCTATTGAATCAGCATTACATTCTTTACAGATGCTAGCAAAGAAGGAAAGACTGCTTATACTGATATGCAAAATGATAAAGTTTTACAGACTCCATTTAATCCGGTTCAAAACAATGAATTGTTTGCAATTATCTCTTCTACAAGATTATTCTGAACCAGTTAATATTATAACTGATTCTCAATACACAGCTTGGACTGTCAGTCATATACTTACTGTTGATTTGCCTTTGACTCTGAACTTATATTTTTATTTAAAGATTCACAGCAAGTTTTGAGAGACCATAAACATCCTTTATACATTACTCATATACGACCTCATACTGGTCTTCCGGGTCCCTTTATGGCAGAGTCATTTTGGCCATCGTCACAGTCATCAGAGTTCTGTCATCTTAGTCTCTTCACAGACCTCAAAGTATCCAAAGTCGCAGTTCTTCTCATCTTCAGTGTTTCATCATCAACCTTCTCGTCCTCAACTTCTAGTCTTCAGTGTTGAATCTTCCCTGTCTCCTTTCCTGCACCTCCTTCCCAGAGTCCATCTACGCCTCCAAGTTCCTGCCCGCCACCCGTCTTCGCCAACCACATGTTGTTGCCACAACTTTTTATCCTCCAGTCCTTTCTCACCCCCCTTACGGCATAGTTAAATGGGAATCACGTAGGGTGGGGATACAAAGGTGGGGTTGAACATTGTCATAACAGCAAAGGAAGCTAAAGGCCTCTCCTTCAGGAGATTAACTCTTGGACAAAATCTCATCTGGAGAGATTACTCCAGATTACTAGGAGATCCGCCCAAGGGTGGGATTCCATCCAGGATGTATCACTTTCTCCTTTCCTCAGCTAATAATCCATTTAAACAGTTATATTAAATTTACTTCTCATAATATTTCTAGCAATGTCATTTTGTATGAGAGCAGTAAGAGATATATCAAGCTTAAAGGTTGGCTCATTTTGGGAACATCTCGTTATATGTTCCAGACCATAGTCTTCAGACCAGGTTAGTCCTTCCTAACCCCAGCAGGGTCCTTATTCAGTTAATGTTCCAGACCATAGTCCTCAGGCAAGGTTAGTCTTTCCTAACCCCAGCAGGGTCCTTATTCAGTTACCTCTTTTTGGGTCATGACAGAGTTTGTCCATGACCATGCTCTTAACTTACCATGGCACTTGGCCTGGCCCATTTTGATGCCAAGGTAGCTCACAGCTTGCCCTGGGTGCATCAGTCCCTTGTTGGGACCCTACTCTTGGAGTGCTAGGAACTAAGGGCAACTGAGGCTTAAGTCAAGTAAATATGGTTTTGTTTTGTTGTTGCTGTATTTTTTTTTTTTGCTTTTTGGGTCACACCTGGTGATGCTCAAGGGTTACTACTGGCCCTGCACTCAGGAATTACTCCTGAAAGTGCTTGGGGGACCATATGGGATGCTGGGAATTGGACCCAGGTCAGCTGCGTGCAAGGCAAACACCTTACCCGCTGTGCTATCACTCCAGCCCAAGTCAAGTAAATATGGATGCCCAGAAGTAAATATTATTTTGAAATCAATTAACTTCCAGTAAATACAATGGGTCTCATTCCCCTGACCATGAATACGGCAGCATTGAGAAGGATGTGGAAGGAGAGGCTGTTAAAATCTCAAGGCTGAACTAAGCTGCCAAAACAAAGAAAGACAAAAGTGACTGTACTTTCAATGCATGTATGCTGGCATCTGATGCATCCATTGAGGACCTGATGGTATAAGCGTGAAAGATCAAGTACGATATCATTGGTCTGACTGAGACGAGAAGGCATCAATCACATCACACCATTTTCAACACCATTTTCAACACTGGAAAAGAACTATTCCTTGGAACATGCGACAAAAGAGGCGTCGGTGGTGTTGTTGTCCTTGTCAACACAATCTTAGCCATGAGCATTGATTCATTCGAATGCCTAACAATCCGAATTGAACAATTATACTTGAATAGATGCTAGCAGTTTCTATCTTCCTTGTCTACGCACCAACATCCAATTATGGTGAAGGAGAAATTGAGAAGTTCTACATAGAGCTGGAGAAGTTTTATAAAGAAGACCACACCTTCTACAAGATCATTATAAGTGATTTTAATGCCAAGATAGGACCGAGAAGATCAGCAGAAGAACTCCACGTCGGGACCCATGGCCTAGAATGTAACGAACAGGGTGACAAACTGTCTGAGTTCATCATGTCGACCAAGACCATCCATGGTAACTCACAGTTCCAGAAGGCAGAATCTAAACGTTGGACATGGGAGTATCCCAGTGGATGGTTCCACAACAAAATTGACCACACCATATTCAATCGACGGTTTTGCGTAATGTTGCTGTTATCCCAAAATTCCAAATGGGATTGGACCACCGTCTCCTTCGTGCAAAATTCTACTTCACAGAATGGGGAGAAAGGAATGCAAAGTTTAAGAAGAGCACCAACTGGGAGCTCTTTGGCTCTGTTGCAGCAACATGGGAAGATGCCGTCATTGACAACATTGATGAAGAATATGATCAACTGGTTCAGCACCTCCATGATTGTGCAAGGAACACCAAGAGAGATAACCACAAAAAAATGCCTGTCTTCAAAAACTCTTGAGCTTATTCACCAACGTGGCTTGTCGCATGCCTCAGCAAGCGAATGTTCGAGCTTGCAAAGCAGTGCAAAGAAGCGATCAAGGAAGATCTCAAAGAGAGAAGAGCAGTAGTGCTAGTAGATGTGGCAGAAGCCAGGGAAAGCATTCTTAATGCCTGCCTGTCCTTCACCAACTACAAGACCAAGATGACTGCCCTCCGACATCCTGATGGATCTATCACATCTTCCAGAAGGGCAATGGAGAAGATTATTCATGACTTCTACTTAGATCTCTTTAATAGCCACATCTACTTGCCCACATACCAAATTCCGCCGGATGGATATGTCGTTCCCAATGTTCTCCCTTTGGAAATCTGACATGCCATCTCGTCGATAGAGAAACAAAGAACACCTGGCTCAGGTAAGGTCAGACCTGAATACCTGAAGAACCTAATAAATACACTGGTTTGGCTATTCACATGCTACCTGTCTGAATGCAAGGTTTCTTGCCAATGGAAAACCAGCAGGACTGTACTACTATACAAGAAGGGAGACATCCATGACATTGGCAACTATCACCTAATCAGCCTATTGTCTGTCATCTACAAGCTGTTCACTCAAGTCATCCTGAATAGGATTGGCAGAACACGAGATGACGGACAACCATGCAAGTAAGCTGGGTTCCGCAAAGGATTCAGCACGATCGACCATATCCACACAATAACCAAGCTCATTGAGGTTTCTCAAGATTTCAAGATGCCGCTCTGTCTAACATTCATTGATTTAAAGGCCTTTGATTCTGTTGAGACAGAAGGGGTCATTGAAGCCTACCCAATCAGGGCATTCAAACTCAATACATCAGGATCCTCCATGAGCTGTATTACAGATTCACTACCAGGATCTCACCATTCTACAAGGAAGTAATCATCCATGTCAAGAGAGGGGTTCAGGAGGGTGATATCATTTCATCAAAACTCTTCAGTGCCACCCTCGAGAACATCATGTGACGACTGGAATAGGAAGGAATGGGAGTGAAGATAGATGGTCGGCAACTACATCACCTGCGCTTTGCTGATGACATTGTTCTAATAACACCAAACATTAGCCAAGCAGCATAAATGCTGGCTGACTTCCACCGTGAGTGTGGAAACGTCGGACGACAGCTGAATCTTACAAAGACAATGTTTATGAGAAAGAGCCTCGTTCCTGATGCTTCATTCGCTCTCAATGGAATGAACATCTCTGAATGCAACAGTTACATGTACGTAGGTCGAGAAGTCAACATGATGTATGACCTGGCACCTGAGTTGCGCAGGAGAAAGAGAGCAGCTTGGAACGCCTTCAAGGGCATTGAAGAAATAGCTATGAGGATGAAGAACCTCCGGCTCCGGGCACATCTCTTTGATTCCACTGTTCTTTCTGCATTAATATACGCCTCAGAGCTGGGCCCTATGTAAACAGGATGATACGCTATTCGGGTCCCCCAAAGAGGAATCAAAAGAGCTATGCTTGGAGTATCACGTTTCACTCAAATGAGAGAAAGAATCCAGAATTCCGACTTCCGTCAACGATCAAGAATCAGGGATGCTGTCTTGTTTGCCAAGGCGTCAAAAATCAGATAGGCTGGACACGTAATGAGATTTGGAGATGACCTCTGGACTAGAGCCGATACTGACTGGATTCCACGGGACACCAAAAGACCGCGTGGCCGCCCACCTACCAGATTGTCAGACTTCATCAAGTTCCTGAACGATCGGTTTGAGGCTCTTCGTGTTCCTAGAATGAACAGACACCATTGGGCTAAACTAGCACGCGGCAGGGACAAATGGAGAATTACTGGCATCTGCTCAAGGAAATCAATGATTAATGGGAAGTCAAGTGATCAAGTGATCAAGTGAATTACTTTTCAAGTGATTTCTTGATTTCT